CCGGCGGCGGGGCTGTGGCGTGGCGGGGCTCTGCCGGCCGGGCCTCGGTCTCAGGGCGCCCCGTTGCCGTGGGGGGGAGGTACCTGGGCGGCCATAAACTGGGGCGGGTGACGGCTCTCCTGGGCCACAACTTTTCTTTAAAAAAAAAAAAATAATAAACGTACATGTACCTTCGGTTCCTACCGAGGGTTCCCGTAGCTGTCACCTCTGAGGGCAGAGTTGTTGTTTGTGACTGACTTTTCCTCCCTGTGTTCCAGCCTCTGCTGCCAGTGCGGCGTGCCCATCCCGCCCAACCCGGCCAACATGTGCGTGGGGTGCCTGCGGGCGCAGGTGGACATCACCGAGGGCATCCCCAAGCAGGGCACCCTCCACTTCTGCAAGCAGTGCGAAAGGTGGGCAGCCGGGCCCTGCTCCCTCTCCTCCGGGCGAAGCCCACTCCTGGGGGGGAAGCGGGCCCTCGGTGTCGCTACTGCGGCTGGAAAGCGGGGCAGCGTACGCCGGCAGTGCGTGTTCTCATCGGGTCTCTTATGATTTTCCAGCACATTCCTGTATTTTTTTTCTTGTGGAAGTGGAAAACTGTTTCTAAGTAGGGTCTAGAAGATTGAAATGAGTGAGTTTGTGGTCCCTGAAAGAAAAAAGCGGGCAAATTGGTAAGGATGGCAGTAAAAGTGTGAATGCACTTGGAATGCATGAATCATAATGCTTAGGGAGGTAAAAAGTTGTAGCTGCATAGTTGATAATAAAACTGAAGGCTTGGTAAATAACTGCTCAACTTTTGAGTGATTTAATTTGCTGAAGCAGCTTCACGTGCTGAAAAATGCTTCCTGTATCATAGGTATCTTCAGCCTCCAGGAACCTGGATTCAGTGTACCTTAGAATCAAGAGAGCTTCTCGCTTTGTGTCTTAAAAAAATCAAAGCTTCACTGAGCAAGGTGAGTAGCTAATTCTATTGGTATTTCATAGTGTGTCTATTGGTATTGCATAAAGTGAAGTCTAGCTAACTTATACAAGGTTTGATCCTTCTGGAGCAGCCATTTGTATTTGTGTAGAGCTTATCAGCTGATTTATGTTGAGCATAGAGAATGACAATCTGGTCTCATATAATTCCATACTAGAATTTTGGAGGATTCAGTAAGGACAGGTCCTAACAAAGAATTTCCAAGCATACTGAGGAGGCTACTGCAGTGCGGTTCTGTGACTTCAGAGCATGCAGTGTACTGCACAATTGTTATTTTTTAAATGGGACTTGAGTGTAATTAACTGAAGGAAGCGAATATATTTTTAACGCACTTTAATTTTACAGTTTTCTTCTTACATATTTTTCAAATTGTTTATACAATACTTGTTCTTACCGGTTACTACAATACGAAGAAGGGTTGCAGAGGTCTGTATATAGACTAACTTGAAAGTCACATGTTGAATAATGTATCTATCTCTTAGGTTCAGAATCTTATCAGAAGAAAAAATCTGAGATAGTGTTTTAGGAAAAAAAAACCTGTTTTGTTACTGCAGTCATCAAGGTTTGAATTAGATTGCCTTATTGCTATTGGGTTAGTACTTAGATACACAAAATATCTTTTGCTGCAGTAAATTTGCATGTTCTTAGCTTTAGAGATTAAATTGGCTTTTAAGTCCTGAAGAAACTATTACATTCTCCAACTTGATTGTTACATGGCATCCAGAGATACTGTTGAGTAGTGTATTCAGTTACTATGGCATGACAGTCTGTGAGGTTGCATCTCCATTATTTTAGGTAGATCAAACTTGGGGTTCTAACTAAGCATTATTAATTGGGTTTGGTATACTGATAACGTATGTTTTTAATTAAGGTTATTCACTTCCTCACTTGGTTGAGGAACAATGAACTATACCATAAGCCTGTGTTTTCTGGTAGTTAGAGCTGCATGTTTTTAACACGTGTACTAGTGCAATGTGCCAGCAGTAGCTGAGTTCTTGTTCTTTCCCACTGGCAGGTCCGGCTGATTGATGCAGGCTTTATTTGGACTGAACCACATTCTAAGAGGCTGAAGCTGAAATTGACTGTTCAGAAAGAGGTAACTGGCATATAGTATTCGTGTGGCTTTTTATAAGTTTTTACGGCAAACAGTATGATTTTCTTTATTTTTTATTATTACTACATTTTGGATAAGTCGTTCTCTCTGGTAAAATCCAGCATGTGTTTACTGGCTTATCTTGAGAGAATACTGATTTCATCCTGCCTCGATTTTGTCATTAAAGTGCCGTTCATCACAGTTTGAAGAGGCTATCTGCTGTTCCAGTAAAGTAGAGAAAATAGTGCTAACATTTGTGACCCAAATATAGCTGCCAGTCATATAGTTATAGTATAGTATGGAAGTTATTTCAGAATGCTGTGGTAAACTAGCTTTCTGTCTTGACAGGACTAATGAGGAAACCTTTTAAACTTTTGTTTTGCAGGTGATAAATGGAGCGGTTCTTCAGCAAGCATTTGTGGTGGAATATATAATTCAGTCTCAAATGTGTGAAGACTGTCATAGGATTGAAGCTAAGGATTTCTGGAAAGCTGTAGTGCAAGTCAGACAAAAGGTGGAGGCAAACTGAATTTTCATTTGCTCATGGCAGAACAATCAGGCAGACAAATAAATCTTTGGATGAATTTTTGATTTTCTCAGAAAAAGATGTACTCACACTTGCACACTGCCACAGTAATACATTTTGTATTCATGTTGGGTTTTTTTCTTACTGATCTTAGTTTAGAAAAACTTTCTCTCTGCTGTCCAGTATTATTAGCATATTCTTTTTAAATGATGGCTGGCAGGAGGATCTTGTGTGAATTACTAAATATCCTTCTGCATTTTAAGGCAGTGTTAGAAACAGTGGTACAGATTGTTTATAAATACTTTAAATCTTCTTTAAAGAAAATGGTATCTTTAGCAACCAATTACACAAAAATGAGAAACAGAAGCTTTAGATAATTTGGTATAATAATAATTTGGAATAGACTTTGGACTGTTCCTTCTCTAGATGATCTCTTCATATAAATGTTTATTCTTCAGAGATGCTGTACTAGATGGTTCTTAAGTGACCTTGATAATTTTACCTTTGTTTGGTTTTAGACTCTGCACAAGAAGACTTTCTACTATTTGGAGCAGCTGATTTTAAAACACAGGCTTCATCAAAATACACTTCGCATCAAAGAAATCCATGGTGAGTGAGGTGGCTTGTTAGTCTTGAGGTAGAAAAGGCTAACCTGTTCTATATTGGAAGAGTGCTTGCGTTAGTAGCTGTGTACAGATAAGCAACAGATTACTTAGCTTATGTATTGTATTTGAAAAAAAACATAGTACTTGAAATAGCTATGTTCATCAAGCTTTCTTTTCTTTAAGATGGCCTGGATTTTTATTATTCTTCAAAGCAACAGGCCCAGAAGATGGTAGACTTTCTTCAGTGTACAGTTCCATCTAGGTATATAATTTACGTTTATTGCCTTGAGTACTCAAAAGCTTTTCGGAAATGTCTTTTATCCTTCATTTTTAAAGATTTTTGTGAGTGAAAGTGTAAGGAACCTGTATTCTAGTTAAAACAGACAAAATCCTTTCTGCAGAAGTCCCGTGTTTTCCACTTGAGCCACTGTAAAACTAACCCTCATGCATTTTTCTATTTCCTTAATTTTTGTATTTGTAGTACATAGCTATATACGTTCACTGCTGTACTTTGTGCTGATTGTCTCCTGTTTCAAGTAATGTCCTTGCTGCCTGAAGGCTCTATTTTTATGTTTTATAGATCAAAATCATCCCAACGTTTGATCTCACATGATATTCATAGTAATGTCTACAATTACAAAAGCACTTTCTCTGTGGAAATTGTTCCAATATGCAAGGTAGTTTCTCTGTTTCATCTTCAGGGCATTGTATGAAGTGGGTAGAGTTTGGTTTTGGTGATGGAGGCCTGATTTATTGTGTGTTTGGGGGGATGAAGGGGTCTACTCCCCATGAAGCAAGGAAAGTGCAGATAGCAGCTATCTTGAGGAAGTTATTGGGTGGAGAACTGAAAACACAAAGTTTAAAAATCTATTTCAGATTTCCCTGAAGACTTGATTAAAAATTAAGGAAATAAGAGTGTAAATTATTTTCTGTTTGTATGCAGGACAATGTTGTATGTCTGTCACCAAAACTGGCACAGAGTCTTGGTAACATGAGCCAGATCTGTGTGTGCATTAGAGTAACAAGTACCATCCACCTCATCGATCCTAGCACTCTGCAGAGTAAGTTATGAGTTCTTTTCTGCACTACAGCAGCATCTGAATTTTCTGCTGGCACAATTTTTTTGTTTTTTGTTTTCATGAAATCTTCTATTTTTAGACCGTAATGATGTAAATGCATCTGTATAATCACTGACATAGAAATGTAATAGCGAGCTAAGACACACTTCTCTTAAGCTTGATTTCCATAGTTTCCTAGGCAAAGTGTGCAGGGTCAGTGTTAAGTTCATGGATGTTCTAGGTCTCTGCTAAGCACCTACATTTGTCGGGTATATTCCTCTAAAATTAGATGGTATCTGGTTTTCCCCTGGATTATGATTCTAGCCACTTCGGTACCAGAAACACTGTGCTTTGATTGGTATTTGCTGGTAAGCTCCACCAGCAAAATACTTCTAATAAGGATACATCCAGGAGAATGATTCTTGTGAATAAAAAGGTCTATGCTTCAGACATGTGATATGTGATTCAGCTGTCACAGATCAACTGCTCTTGTCGCACGAGTTTGCAATATGTGTCATGTCCTTGTGTTGCAATAACAAACTTGAACAAAATGCATTTGGCAGTTGCCTTAATTTTGGAAAATGCTTCCTTTTCCTTTTAATTTCTTCGCAAGAAATTCTCTCCCTTGTGATTGCCCATGCTGGTGGTTTTTTTTCCAGTTGCTGAAATTGACGGAAATACCTACTGGCGCCACCCTTTCAATAGCTTGTTCCACCCAAAACAACTAGAGGAATTTATCATTATGGATATCAATAGGGTTCAAGAAAAGAAAAAAGGTGCAGGTGCAGGGGCAAGATCAAACAAGGTAAGAGTTCCTCTCTATTTGATTCAATGTTTTGGGCTTTCCTCTTCCCTCCCTCCCCTACTCAGCTGAACTTCTGTTTTGAATTGTTCTACCTTGCAAAGTCAGATGTATGCTTTTCTGTGTCTTGCCACTGGCCAAAGCTCTTCTCAGGAAGATGTGGACAGTTTTGGTTTGGAAATTGCAGAGGTGTTATGTGAATTCCACTTTCAGAAATTCTTTTTGGTTGAAGAGTTTAAACTCTACTTGTTACTATCATTTATTGAAATTATTTTATATTAGCTTTGCAACTCTTCAATTATTAAATTTTTTTTGTTGAAGTGTAGAAGCATTTCTTTTTAATCAGAATTAATGAATCGGTACCAAACACTTTCTTCTCAGTCAAAAGCTATATGTGGTTGAAAGTTCTGAAGTAAAAAAAACCCTCCCAAAACATGTGTCTAGTTATAGAAACAGCCTTCGTGGAATTCTTGTGAAAAGTGGTTGGCATGTCCATTTCCTTTTGTAAAGATGAGAAATGAGGAGTAGCAAGCAATACACTGGATGCTTGATATAGAAATACAAGTTTAATTGCAAATGTAATTTAAAACAGTAATACAGCAGTGCAAACGTTCTAATAGCACAGCAAGTTAAGCTGCGTTTGATTACAAGTGTTTTATTTTTCATTCCTCAAGCATACACTGGCTGAAGCCTGGGTACAGAAAACCTCGGAGTTGAATACAGATCATCAGTATTTCTGCTGTACTCACTTGGGGCACATTCTGAATCCTGGCGACCTTGTCTTGGGGTCTGTTCTGTTTCTTGTTTTTTATTAAATGATTATTTAATGACTGAATTCTCTGGATTATCTACAGGCTTATGTATTATCAAGAAAGTTTTGAACTGTTCTGATTTCTAAATGAAATCAGCAAAAGGGATAGAATCTTTCATCTTGACCATGAAGAGATGGTCCTAATACAGGAAAATTTTTTTTTCTAGCAGAGGTCATCTTGGGAAAAGGGCTGTTAGTAATAAGACAACTGAAGTATTAACTTTAGAGTGCAGATTGGAATAACAGTTTAGACACAAATAGATGGGAGGGATTTTTGAAATACCAGGCAAGATCTTTCTGTTTGATAGTGAGTATCGTATGCAGCAATTTCAAATATGAAATTTTTGTAAGATTAAGCAAATCAGGTGATTCTCAAACAGGCTTAAGCATGAATGTTATTGGAGCTGTTGTGAGCCCAACAGAACCTCAGTGGATACTGCTCTTTGGCTTCAGGAGGCTGGGGAGTGCTACTGAAAAGAATTTGGGAACAGCAGCTTCTAAATGTTATTCATAGTTAGGACAGCTGCGTATTGATGTGGGGGTTTTTTTGCTCTGTAGTTCATTTGGAAACATTTATCTTTCTTAGGAACTGTAACTTATGCTATGCTGCTCTTTAATACAAACATATGATACACTGAGTTCAATTTTGTAGACTTACATAGAAGGGTAGGATAAAATACCTATTTTCATTTTAGATTCGACTTGGCGAACTGCAACTTAAATGACGAGTTTGCCAATAAGATGAACCCACACAGTATTCCTGATGTGGTAAGACCATTTTCTTTCTCTGTACAAAGTTCTCTGTGTTACCCAAGGGTATTAGGGAATATGATTTTATAATGAATACTCACTAGTTCCGTAATGCCAAACGAATAGGGGATATTAATATTGAAATTTGAATAGCATCTAGTTTTGAGAATTATTTTCTCACTACTTAAATTTTTTGTGGTGGTTGAATAATATATTTACTTTAACTTACCTTACTGTCTGTTGGTTTTGTTCAAATTACCATGCACTGTGTGGTGAAAACTGTATTACAACTCCAGTGTGTGTATGCCTCTTCAGGACATAATCCAAAGTGTTTGGAAACTTTTGAATTGACAAATGCTATATAAATTTGATATAAAACTTCTGAGTGCCAGACTGACTCTACCATTTGTTCAGCTGATTTTACAGTTACCCAAATCTAGATTTGGGTGGAGTTTGGGGTTTTGAAAGAGTGTCATCAGTAGTATTGAAGGTGTGTATGTGTAAATACTTGCTGTTTTTCACTGTAGGTATTAATAAAGAAAAGCTATGACCGTACCAAACGCCAGCGTCGCAGAAACTGGAAGCTGAAAGAGCTAGAAAGGGACAGAGAAGGCACGGATACAGACGATGAAAGGTTCAGTATCTGCCATGAAGCTTTTTAGTCCCTCCTGCCTAGGATACTGTGCCAAGTCTAGAAATTACATTTCTCAGTTTCTGCTGAGGAAAAACCCAGTGCAATGCCTAAGCTGATGTGCTGACTGTTAAGGGGGCACAAGCAAATGCTGCTGGTTCTGTTTGAGCGTGATGCTGGCTCATAGGACAGGTTGATATCAGTGTTCTCTGAAGAACATTATCTCTCTGCATTTTTCCCCCTTCCCTAGTGCAGGAAGTGCTTTAAGCATATGCACCTTACTTAGGTTTATCCTACCTGCTAAGTTTTCAGGGAACATGGATACTGAGGACAGCGGGCCAGGGATGTTTGGAAACAGACCAAATCCTGAAATCTTAAAGATAGCACTAGAGGTTTTTCAGTTTTACTGTTGCAAAATGTAAAAACTATGTTTGTTTTTTCCGAGAAAAGCTTAAATCATGAGACAAGTGAGCAATATTAGAAGCATTGTGTCTGTAGCTTACAGTTGGTGTCTGTCTAGCTAAAGAGACACTTCTGTGAAAACACGCTTGTCACTGGTTTGTTCAGTGACAAAGCTGATGCAGCAACAGCAGATTCTAAATAACGTTCAGTTGAGTAGAAAAAATGAGGCAATTAGAGTTAAATGAGAACAGGCAAATTAAATTATTTGGAAACTAATAGGTAGTAAAGAAAAAAGCAGAAAGAATGAGTTGGAAATGTAGGAATGCTATCAAAAGGCACGTCTGAAGGGCTGTGAATTGCAGTCCTTCCTTGGGGCTTTGTTTCTTTGATTTTATTTTGTTTTATAAATTCACATAAATCCACAGGAAAAGTGAGTAAATACATAAGCATCTTTTACAGACAATACCAGGACTTCCTTGAAGATCTCGAAGAAGATGAAGCCATAAGGAAGAATGTCAACATTTACAGAAGTAAGGCCTTTTTAACCATTTAATTGCATGTAACTAGATCATGACTATTTGAGTGAAAATATTTTTACTGAAGTTCTGTATTTGGATTCTTTGAACTACTCATGCCTGGAGAAACACTGTAATGTAATAGCTTCAGGTATTCAGCATATTTCACGTGCACTGAATGGATGTTGATGATTTTTGTTTGCTTTGCCTTGAACATGAGAGAGAGAAGCGTATTTTCTCCCGCACCCAAAACCTCTGCAGGGTGAAGGATTTGATACATAATTCAGCGTCTTCCATGAGGGCAATTGCTATGGGATTGTTGTTTTTTAGGAGGGATTTGTTTGGTTGTTGGTTTTGTGGTTTGTTAGTTGTATTGGGGTTTTAGGTCTTTTTCTGCTTCCTTCCTTGGGATTATTCAGGGGGTTATGGGTTTGTTTTCTTTGCTTAGCTGTTTGTTGGGTTTTTTCAAAACCTCTGCAGGGTGAAGGATTTGATACATAATTCAGCGTCTTCCATGAGGGCAATTGCTATGGGATTGTTGTTTTTTAGGAGGGATTTGTTTGGTTGTTGGTTTTGTGGTTTGTTAGTTGTATTGGGGTTTTAGGTCTTTTTCTGCTTCCTTCCTTGGGATTATTCAGGGGGGTTATGGGTTGTTTTCTTTGCTTAGCTGTTTGTTGGGTTTTTTCTATTGCTTTTTTAGGTCTTTCTGCTTCCTTCCTTGGGATTATTCAGGGGGTTATGGGTTTGTTTTCTTTGCTTAGCTGTGTTTTGGGTTTTTTTCTATTGCTTTTTTAGATGCAGATGTTCCAGTGGAGAGCGACACGGATGATGATGGTCCTCCGCGAATCAGTCTGGCAGAAATGCTAGAGGATCTCCATATTTCCCAGGATGCCACTGGTGGGGAAGGAGCAAATATGATGACAGAATAAGAATAGTGCACTAGTCAATGCAATAAATATTCCCTTAGTGAGGAAAAAGTACCCAAAACATAAGTAAACATTACAAACTGATCACATGAACGTGAAAAGTACACCCCTAAATAATGGTCCTAAATTAATATTTTATATATACGCTTCTAGAGAATCAGCAATTAAATTTCTGGTGCAAGCATTGCGATATAAGTTCAACAAGTTCCTCCCATCCCTAAGTGCTCTCTCCTTGCAACTTCTGCAGTGTAAAGCACAGCTGACTAACTGCAGGGTTATCCATGCGGAGTAATCATTGTCTTGTGCTGAAGACAGCTGATAAGGAAAGATGTCCAAAGGGAGAGATTTTATTCTAGTTTGCTAGATTTGTAGGTAAAGTACCTACCTACTGTTTATTGCTTTCATTTCTTCACATGGGAAGGATTTTTCCTGTCTTAATCTTTTTGGTTCAGTGGTTTGAAGCCTTTTATGATACTGCTAGATTATTCAATATAACAATATTTGGGGGAAGCTCAAGAATGTATCTTCTGCTCCTTTGGTAAGGGAACTCCAAATACACGTTTACACGAAGAAGCTTCCCTGTAAATTGATTGAAGATGCAGCCCTTGATCAGAAAGATTGCAAACTTGTGTTAAGTATAATGAATATTGTATTGTACTATATTCCATGCCTGTACTAGTGGATTAAAAGCAATATGCATAATGTCTAATTAATACACCAGATAGGAACTATTAAAAAATTATTCAGATGGTTTTGGTCCATCATTTTTTAGTTAACTTTAAAATCAATTTTCTCTCTACTGCAAGCCCAAAGAGGACATAAGTGGTGTAGGAGGACATTACATACTTATATTAATCTGATTTTAATTCACTTTACTGCACAAAGGTGGTTTAACAGAAATTTTACTAAGAGTTTATGTGCATATACATTTGATTTAACTCAATATAAATAGGGAAACATAGCATAGTGGGAGTGGTTTTGCCACTGCATTTTTTTAACTTGAGGAAAAAATGTTCAAAATAAATGGCATATGTAAAGGAGGGAAATACTAATGTAAAGTTGGAAGAAAATAGAGATGTGTAGGATTCCTCTAACAGGGTATTAATGATTCCTCTATCAAGGATCTGTATAGCTCAAATGAGAACACTCGAGGCAGTTTGTCACCGCTTGTGTGCTTGTAAGAGAAACACACAGGGCTGGAAATTCACTATTTCTCTGCAGTATCCACTGAGGAGGTGTCGGGAGCACCTTTCTCTATTTCACCGTACTACACAGCTTTCCAAGGCCTTAAAGAAAAGCTAAGAAACAGTCAAGGAGTTAGCAGTGTTCAGCCCACTGCCAGGTGAGAGAAATTTTTGCCTCATTCTTTAGTTTAATCTTTTGACTAAGTGCTTCCAGACGGTGTGAATCCACTGGATTTCGGGCTTACTGTATGAGCCCAGGCAATATGCCATAGAAGGCAAAGGTATTTTTGATTGTAGAAGGTGGAGCTAGGTTTAGTTATCAGTTATTCATACTTTTTTTTTTTATTCTGTCTCATAATTTTGTAATCATCCATTTGTAAAGGGGGAAAAACGGAAATTTGGAAAGGCAGTTTTGATGTAGCGAAGCTCTAAGCCATCTGTTGGCGTTAGCAGCTCAGCCATCCCTTAGTGCCATCTTTTACTGTGTGTTTGTGTCACACCAAGCTCTTTTGCTTCCACTTTCAGGAGCTTTGTCATATTTTTTTACTGTGTAGAAGAGCAGTTAAGAAAAATCCATAAAGCTGCTGAGAACTAAAGGTACAATTTATCTCATGAGAGTAATTTAGTTCAGTATAGGGAAGGCATAAAACCGTGCTTAAGAAATATTCATCAGAATGCAGCTGCGTAGCTAACCTGGATTATCACTACAATAAAAATGTTTTATTACACATATTTTACAGTAGCTACACCTGCCAGTAGTGCTGGGGAGATGTAGATAAACTCAGTTCTAGTGACCATTGGGCCAAATCTGTGGAAATTTAAGAACTTTAATTTGTAACCTGTAGCCAATGAATGCATTGTGTGTCTGGATGAGATGTGTTTTGGATTGTGATTTTTCTGACAGGTAAAAATGATCAAGCCTTTATCTTACATAGTTTGGTAATAAGCTTCCTGTTGTTGACAGGTGAAGGGGGAGTAATAAAAGCTTGATTTAAACTGTGCTGTTTTGACCAATCCTTTTCCTTCCTCTCTAATGTTTTCCTTCATAGTGTGTCTCAGTAATTTCAGATGTATTGCTGTCTTGTCTGTCATCCTGTTTGTTACTGCAGATGTCCCTCTTCCTTTTCCCCCCTAGTGGTCTGTTGCCAGTCCGTATTAGGTTTCAAGCATCTTTCAGCAAGAATCTTGTCTGGAAAGATCTCATGCTACGGATGCTAGGCAAACAAGTCATAAATCTAAGTATATCGCTTGGCTTTTGTGCATTTGTTTGCTAGCTGGTAACACATAGTAACAGCTCTCCAATGAGTGGGTAAGCTGCGTGTACCTGAAACCAAAGTTAGTTCTAATTTTAGGTTCTCAAGTTTACAGTGTCCCTTTAACATTTAAATGGTTGGGAGCCAAAAGAGGTTTAGATGGTGTACCAGCAAATTAAATGTTTGACTCTGGATAAGTAATTTGACAAAAGGTACTTGATTCACAATAGATAAAAGGCTTCCACTTACCCTGCATCTCTTTCTGAAAATCTATCTCTGTGGATTGAGACACGGCTTAAAGCTCCTCTCCTTTTATACATACGGAAGTTGCTTCAGGATTTTAAGTCATAACTGCTTAATGATTAATTTGCACCCAAATTTTGACAAATTTTGAATTGGAAAAGAGTTGAAGCATAACATCCCGCTAGTTTGCCTGGGGAGGAGGGGGGTTGCTTTTGAGACGCGAATATATGCACGCGTGTGTGTAGCAGATTTGGCACAGAGTATGTGTGATAGCGAGTACCAAGCAGTAGCAGTATGTATAGTAATTTATGAATAGCAACGCAGATGTAAAAGGTTGTCTGAAGTAGTTACGGGATGGTTAAATTTGAAGTGTACTTGCCACATGTAGTAAGGTAGTAGTAAGACTAAAAAGAAAGAATACTTTTTAAAGTATTTTTAAAAAAAAAAAGCACAAACAGCTGATGAGATTCTGTTTCAGCAGAGAAGAGAAGTTTTGTCCTTCAAAACAGCCAACATTTTGTTCTTTCAGAAGCAAGGCTTTTACAGTGAGAAACCCAATAAGGCTTCATACAAGGCTTTCAGCCCTGTCACTGTAGCTTCCCTGGCTAGGAATGGTGGGAAGAAATAGTTACTTAAGCTAAGGGAGTTTCACTCCCCTCCCCCCACTAGTGGATTACTGGGGGGAAGAATGGAGACAGAAAATGCAAGACTAGATTTAAACTTTGCAGGGTTTTAGTGCTGAATTTCCATTTTGGTTAATGATGAATCACTTCTTTTTTGGGGTTCGGTTGCCTTAGTGAACAATGTGTGCAGTAGCTCCTGTGAGCAACTGATGTATTACCGTGATTCTAGATCATTTCATTGAAATTCAAAGTTCTATTAAAAAAAAAAAAAAATCATTTGTCATGGGAGAAGCTGTCCAGAACTTTGTAATAACTGTCTGAAAGTGTTTTGCTCTCAGAAAATGGTGAAGGAGAATGTTACGTCGCAGAAGTCAAACCTTACAGCACAAAAGCTGGATCATTGAGGGAAACAAATACACAGAAGGAGGTGGTTCGGCTATGCAAGCACTACTTTTTAAATTTTTTTTCTATAGAAAAAACCCAGTGTCTTGTATATTGATGATGAAAAGCCTAAGGTTGGTAATTTCACCTTTAACTGCTTTACAAATCTGTTAGTAGATCCTCGTATGTAACTACAGAGGTTCCCAAATAAGGTTCAGGTGGAAATTGTTCAGGAAAATAGTGTCAAAATCATGCCAGATAACTTACCTTTGCTGTATTAAAAGGACTGCTGCTGTGCCAATTTGGGGAGATTACAACCTGCGGAATAGCGTATGTGCTAGTTGTCATTGAGATACTGATCCAGTGGAGAGTTTTAATAGAATCAATATTACTATACCACTGAGAAGAGCCTGGCTCCATCTCCTTTACTGTCTCCTATCAGGTATTGATACACATGGATACAATCCCGCTGAGCCGTCTCTTCCCCAGGCTAAACAGTCCTGGATCTCTCAGCCTTTCCTCTGTCAGAGAGCTGCAGTTACAGTGGAGGGGAGGAAGGAAATAGTGAGCCGATCATACCATTTCCAAACAGGGAACATAGTCTGGGAAAACCTACACATATAAGATAGTGTTCACCCTCTCAGACCACTTTGGAAAAAAAATGTGTATCTGTAGATGTGTATCTCTCTCTGCCCCAAAACTTATATTAGTTCCCATATCAATTCTACATCCTATCACATCCATCCCTGGAGACAGTGCGGGTTTAGGAGCTGTGGGGCAACACATGGCTGGCTTTTGCTGCTCCTGTAACCCAGCACATTTTATGCTTAGCCTCTTGGCATGTCCTGGAGAGATGCTGCATCTGATCCTTCCCCAGCTGGGGTCAGCAGCAGCTCCGCTGGGCACAGGAGGGACGGCAGGGTTAGGTCCTCACAAACAGGGACCATGCAGAGTAGCATATGGTCCATTCTAGGAGATGCTGCCTGCAATCAAGTTGCAGAGAACCTGATGTGGGCGAGTACTGTTAGACAAACTCATTTTTCTTTTTGTAACTGAAACGTGCTCAAGACGGAACACAAAGTGCCGCGTGTGTTGTAAGGACCTTTCTAGGGATGGCCAAATACACTTTGCTTGAAGGCTGCAACATCTTGGTGAGACGCACTGGTCTCATTTTGGTCAGGAGGCATCCACAGTGGCAGGCACTTGCCCATTCTTCTGTAGAAGTTGCCATAGAAAAATTGAGATGTGCCTGTGATTAATGTGATAGTCCACCTGATGTCACTATTCCTTCATGTTAATGGCCCCGAAAGCAGTCTGTTCAGCTGCTCTAAAGAAAAGATGGCTATAAACTCTGAAAAACTTGTTTATGCCGATGTAGTTTCTAATACTTTCATTTAAGTTTAAAATAGCATAGCACCAACCTAAGGAAAAATAGGACAAAAGCTGCTTTGATCTTGATATTAAAGGACTTATTCCTGGCAATCTGCTCCTCCTGCCAGCAGATTCGCCTCTACTTGTGCCTTGCCAAGGCCACTTGTTTTAGCTGCATTCTCCCAGAACTGTTAAATATAGGGCTGAGACTCGCGTGTTGGGTTTCAGAGGGGTTTTGGCAATGTTTGCTATAGCTCATTCCAGAACATAATCACGTAACAAAGAATATTGCCTTCAGAATTTACCAATGTTTTGTGTACTTAACCTTCATCGTGAGCTTAGGATGGGAACCTGGTTAAGACACGTAAGAAACAGGATATGAAGTTTAAAACTTGTCAGGATCTCAGTTCCATGATGAAAAACAAAGCATAATTATCAAGAAAGAGAAGTGCCTTTGTGTAATTTGAATATTCAGCTTTATAAAATGAAACAATTATGTATGACACAAATCCACAACTAATGTACCTTTTCACATCAACTATGAAAATGTTTCAGATGTGCCAAGCACTGAAAGGACTTGAAAGACTATTTTAAAATAATCCGTGCTCAGGGGCAAGTTTTGTAAGATAGAAGGAAATTATTTAAGCTGTAAATGATTTGGCAGGTTGTTTGTATATTCCTTAGCATGATGAGACTTCATGCTGCATGGGCTGTAATGATTATGATAAACACCTTTGTTATTAATATAGGTCTTTTTTAATTCATGCTTTTTTGTAGGGTGGATCTGAGATATAAAGGGCTGAGATTTTTAACCCATACCTCTGCTGAAATGAATTTATGCTAATGTATGAAAGCTTGACATATTTAAGCCAGTATGAATGCAGCAGAAGAGAAAAGCCTCAAAGTGGTTGTTTGAAGCTCTAGGTTTGTTTTAGACTTTTCCTTAAAAGGTGAATGATCATATTGAAAATAATCTGGAATTAGGTCCTTTAGGAGCCCTGAATCCCCTGAGGAGCGGAGGTGTTCAAGCACTTTGTGTTGCGCCGTCTGCATCTGAGGTTCCCTGATGCTCTGTGGAAGCCTCGGTCAGAGGTGGGCGTGCAGGTTCCCAACGCAGCAGAGACAGAGAGTTAGTCCCAAAGCAGAGGATTTGCAGAAGCTGGCACGCTGGGAAAGGAGATGCCGGAGCCAGCTTGGTGGAAGTGCTGGTACGAGCACCGATGAGAGCAATCGCACTCGGGCCACTCTTCCAGCTGGCTCTCGGAGGCAGCTGCTCCTCAGCCTTCCAGCATCTCTGGGCTTCGGTGCCCATTTCCATACCTGTGTGCTAAACCCCCTGGCCTAGCAGGTGGCTGGTATTGCCCAAGACTCAGATCCAGCAAAAGGATGCATACACTTCAAGTAGGATTTAAAAGGGATTCTCTTCAGTCCAAATTGTGACAATGTTGAGACAGCTGCTGTTTAACCTTGGCAGCCTCTGAACTCCATATATAGCTCACTCGTTTACTGCAGTTTCCTCCTTGCCTGAATTTGCTCTTTCCCAAAGCCTGTGATGTTCAGCCTGACACGGTCTCCTGGAAGGATTCCTATTGCTGCGGCTTTCCCGCTCTGTAATGAGGTCAGCCTGAGTTAAAATGCTTTGTAAAAGTTTGGGTATTTGTAGGTACTCCAGGTTTTCTCTAAGTTTGATTTGACTTTTTAATATCACTTCCTGTAATATAGACATAAAGCTTCTATAGGTGTCACTGACAGGTAGTGTACAGTAAGAAACTTACGGTGCTGTATTACGTACCCAAACGATAGGTCAGTAATATCTGATGCAGTTGAGCACACAATTCCCTGCACTCCGACAGGGTGCGAGATATATACAAGATTATTGAATCTCAAAACCAAATTCTTTTAACATAGGTTTCTAATATAATGTAAAAATATAATCAAAAGTCAAGTTCAAGCGTTAATGGCCTTTAATGCATCACTTCATTATGCAGAGAAATTAGCCATGCAGACATGCATAAGTGAAAGCAGCCCTGGGTATCTTCAGATAAGTCTTCCAAATGGGAAAGGTTGTTACAGGATATGAATACTCTGAGGGGTTTTGTTGGGGTTTTATTTGAACTTAACCAACTTT